GGGGGGACACACGTGTCTGCTCAGGTGTTGCAGGGGGGGCACGTGTCTGCTCAGGTGTTGCAGGGGGGGGCACGTGTCTGCTGAGGTGTTGCAGGGGGGGGCACGTGTCTGCTCAGGTGTTGCAGGGGGGGGGGGCACGTGTCTGCTGAGGTGTTGCAGGGGGGGGGACACGTGTCTGCTGAGGTGTTGCAGGGGGGGACACGTGTCTGCTGAGGTGTTGCAGGGGGGGACACGTGTCTGCTGAGGTGTTGCAGGGGGGGGACACGTGTCTGCTGAGGTGTTGCAGGGGGGGCACGTGTCTGCTGAGGTGTTGCAGGGGGGGACACGTGTCTGCTGAGGTGTTGCAGGGGGGACGGGACACGTGTCTGCTGAGGTGTTGCAGGGGGGGCACGTGTCTGCTGAGGTGTTGCAGGGGGGACGGGACACGTGTCTGTTGAGGTGTTGCAGGGGGGGACACGTGTCTGCTGAGGTGTTGCAGGGGGGGCACGTGTCTGCTGAGGTGTTGCAGGGGGGGACACGTGTCTGCTGAGGTGTTGCAGGGGGGACGGGACACGTGTCTGCTGAGGTGTTGCAGGGGGGACGGGACACGTGTCTGCTGAGGTGTTGCAGGGGGGACGGGACACGTGTCTGCTGAGGTGTTGCAGGGGGGACGGGACACGTGTCTGCTGAGGTGTTGCAGGGGGGACGGGACACGTGTCTGCTGAGGTGTTGCAGGGGGGACGGGACACGTGTCTGCTGAGGTGTTGCAGGGGGGACGAGACACGTGTCTGCTGAGGTGTTGCAGGGGGGACGGGACACGTGTCTGCTGAGGTGTTGCAGGGGGGACACGTGTTTGCTGAGGTGTTGCAGGGGGGGGGGCACGTGTCTGCTGAGGTGTTGCAGGGGGGGAGACACGTGTCTGCTGAGGTGTTGCAGGGGGGGACACGTGTCTGCTGAGGTGTTGCAGGGGGGGGACACGTGTCTGCTGAGGTGTTGCGGGGGGGGACACGTGTCTGCTGAGGTGTTGCGGGGGGGGACACGTGTCTGCTGAGGTGTTGCAGGGGGGGGACACGTGTCTGCTGAGGTGTTGCAGGGGGGACACGTGTCTGCTGAGGTGTTGCAGGGGGGACACGTGTCTGCTGAGGTGTTGCAGTGGGGACGGGACACGTGTCTGCTGAGGTGTTGCAGTGGGGGGACACGTGTCTGCTGCGGTGTTGCAGGGGGGACGGGACACGTGTCTGCTGAGGTGTTGCAGGGGGGACGGGACACGTCTCTGCTGAGGTGTTGCAGGGGGGACGGGACACGTGTCTGCTGAGGTGTTGCAGTAGGGGGGACACGTGTCTGCTGAGGTGTTGCAGTGGGGGGACACGTGTCTGCTGAGGTGTTGCAGTGGGGGGACACGTGTCTGCTGAGGTGTTGCAGGGGGGACGGGACACGTGTCTGCTGAGGTGTTGCAGTGGGGGGACACGTGTCTGCTGAGGTGTTGCAGGGGAGGGGGGGAGACAGCCCCAGGGGGGGGCCACATACGAGGCAGGAACAAGTTACTTTTTAAAGGGACCTTTACACAATGAACCCAGGGAAGCGCCCACGCGCGCGCCCACACGCCCCCACATACGTACCATTATGCATGAACTCCCTCCACACGGCAGAGCTGTAGCTCCCGGGCGCCGCCTCACAAGACACCAACTCCCTGATGAGTCTTACACATCAGAATTGATTTCAATTCAAGAATCAGATTTGAATTGATCAGAATTGATATATCATCATTCTTATATATTCTTAAAATCAGACCTTTACACAATATACATAAATTCTTACTAAATTATTTGAAATGTTTTGTAAAGTTTCCATTCACACATTTCTTCATCCCTGCCTTTGTTTACTCTCTGTACACGCGAGGATTTTGTATGCCGTTATCATGGCTTATCGACGGAACAAATTGCCAGTTAACATACTACACGCTGGATCGCTAGGTTGTTTCAAGCGCAGGTTAGACATATATATGATTGACTCTGGGTGGAGATCAATAGGGAGCTGCCTAGTACAGCCCACAATATAGGCCTTCTGTAGCTACCTATATTATATAACGCACCCCAGGAGGTCAGGGCAGGTCAGGGCAGGTCAGGGGAGGTCAGGGCAGGTCAAGGCAGGTCAGGGCAGGTCAGGGCAGGTCAGGGCAGGTCAGGGCAGGTCAGGGGAGGTCAGGGCAGGTCAGGGGAGGTCAGGGCAGGTCAGGGAAGGTCAGGGCAGGTCAGGGCAGGTCAGGGGAGGTCAGGGCAGGTCAGGGCAGGTCAGGGCAGGACAGGGCAGGTCAGGGCAGGACAGGGCAGGTCAGGGCAGGTCAGGGCAGGACAGGGCAGGTCAGGGCAGGTCAGGGGAGGTCAGGGGAGGTCAGGGGAGGTCAGGGGAGGTCAGGGGAGGTCAGGGCAGGTCAGGGCAGGTCAGGGGAAGTCAATGCAGGTCAGGAGGTCAACAGGTCAATCAGCCAAGTAGATAAGACTATCCAGAGATCCCGCCACGCGTTATCTGTACCCAGCCTCCCTCCACAATGCCCAACCACCTCCGTTCTCTTCCTCCCAGACAGCACACACCAAATTAATGCTAAATAACGAGATTTATTCCTGCGTGGCGCGTTAGTTGATGAGCCGAGGGTCGTGTACTCCACTACCACTCACACCATGGCTCAAGCAACGCAACACCACCCTTATCAACATTATCAACACAACACCAATGTTATCAACAATAATCAACACAAGACCACCGTTATCAACACAAGACCACCGTTATCAACACAAGACCACCGTTATCAACACAAGACCACCGTTATCAACAATAATCAACACAAGACCACCGTTATCACACAAGACCACCGTTATCAACACAAGACCGCCGTTATCACACAAGACCACCGTTATCAACACAAGACCGCCGTTATCAACACAAGACCGCCGTTATCAACACAAGACCGCCGTTATCAACACAAGACCGCCGTTATCAACACAAGACCGCCGTTATCAACACAAGACCGCCGTTATCAACACAAGACCACCGTTATCAACACAAGACCACCGTTATCAACACAAGACCACCGTTATCAACACAAGACCACCGTTATCAACACAAGACCACCGTTATCAACACAAGACCACCGTTATCAACACAAGACCACCGTTATCAACACAAGACCAACGTTATCAACACAAGACCACCGTTATCAACACAAGACCAAGGTTATCAACACAAGACCACCGTTATCAACACAAGACCACCGTTATCAACACAAGACCACCGTTATCAACACAAGACCACCGTTATCAACACAAGACCACCGTTATCAACACAAGACCACCGTTATCAACATTAATCAATGCAAATTCATTCTCCCTTCACTGGCATAGTCCCCTTGATCCAGCTTTACCTGGGGGGGGGGGCTTAAAATACACCATACACCGTGTATATTGTTGTAGGACCCATCTCCCTTAATGTATACTGTATACAGGTATACATGACGCCTAAGCTACCAGTTATACGATTGGCTATTCCTCTGCTGCTTATTTATGGCTAGGTGAACAGGGGCATCAGGGGTAATGAGAGGCGCCAAAACGTTTCGTCCTTCAGGGAGGCGAATTTTTAGGATCATTCGGTTGTGTTTCGACTACGCGGACCACTGTGCTAAAAGTGGTAGGTACAGCGACAGACTAGCGTCTTGCAGGGGCGGGGTTCGATGCCCGATGTTTCAAGTGCGGTCTTTCACGCCGTCCTATCCTAACTTCTTAAGTCTTTTAAGGAGTTTAAAGACTTAAGTCTTTAAGAAAAAGTGTCAAGTGAAAGGCAGGTATTTTCTGATCTATTAGTTCCCAAACATCTGTGTTAAATGATAATTTTTGGTTTCAAACACCTGTTTTAAAATGCTTATTTCTCAAACACCTGATTTAAATAATGATTTCTAAAACACTTGTGTAAGTTAGACCAAAATTTAACTTCAAATGTCACCTAACTTCGGGTCTAGAAAATCACTACAGATCTGGTGCCAAATTCACGAAGCAGTTACGCAAGCACTTACGAATGTGTACATCTTTCCTCAATCTTTGACGGCTTTGGTTACATTTATTAAACAGTTTACAAGCGTGAAAACCTCCCAATCAACGGTTGTTATTGTTATAAACAGCCTCCTGGTGCTTCGGAGCTCATTAACTGTTTAATAATTATAAACAAAGCCGCCAAAGAGTGAGAAAAGATGTACAGGTTCGTAAGTGCTTGCGTAACTGCTTCGTGAATCTGGCCCGTACCAGAAATTCAGTGGTTACAGGGGGGGTAAGTTGATGTTAATTACTGTACTATCGTAGCTAATTACCCATTAGATGGGTAATTAGCTTCTAGTGAGAGGCCAAACAGTTGCATTTGTAACGGAGTAGCATGTTCAAGAGAACGGCATGATCGGTAATACTTTTGGCATGTGCTGTCACTCTCGTTAGTACACCATAACTTACTATTTTGGTCACGTAACGGGCGGAGACCAAGAGCTAGAACCATCAATTATTCACGTCGGGGTCATTACACACCTGTTTATTAACCCTAATCAATAACACTTGGGCCTGGTCAATACAAATTGTGAAAAAATAACACATCAAAAGCCCGGTACAGAGGGCAACACCTGCTAACGTTAGCGGTGGTTGTAAGCCAGTTACTTGTCTAGCGACGTTGTTAGACGTGACCAAGTCCCGTAGTAACGAGGAGACGGCGTTATTAAGCCCGCAGAAACCACTTCATCCTGGATGATGGTAATTGTTTAACACACAATTTAATATCCAACTTCCCTCCCCCCCCCAGTCACACACACTATTTTCCTCTCCTGTGGCGTAATGATTGTAAACTTAACTAAACATATAGCAGAAGCCTCTGCCTGAAACGCTGTGCGAACTAGTGGCTTTACAAGAACGTAAACACATATGTAAACTTCAATGTAAACCCAAAGTAAACTTCTTGTATACATAAATAAATAAATAAATGAGGAATCTTACCTTAACACGTGGGCGGAGGCACAGCTGTTAAAGCTACATCTGTGTTAGTTAACACAGGCAGAGACTGGAGGGGATTGGGGGACACATAAACGAGTCACGTAATCACCGCACACGGCAACAGGGGAAGGCCATTCAGGTTGGTTTTTAGCGCGAGAGGAAAAGGTTGGGTGGGGAATGGGATGCACTATTACTCACGTGTCACAAGACAAGAGGGCGAGAGGAGCGTATAGTCTCCCTCTGAACGTCCAGACGCGAATGGCGTGTTTTCTCCCGTTCAACCCCCGCGGCGGCTGGCTCGCTGCCGGGGGGCCGCCGCCCAAACTCTCGTACCATAAACATTAATATATACACGTCAGAGAAACAGACTTTATAGATATATATACACATATATGAGGCTTCATATATTCATACATGCGGGAAGGTTGTATGTATCCATGTATGGTTTGTACATCGGGGATGTATTGGCAAATATGGATCGCTACGCGTAACTTGTCAGTGAGAGAGAGAAGGTAATATCAAGGTTACAACAGTGATTGTGTCATGAATTTAGTCATGTTTAAATAATTTTAATACAAATAATAATAATAATAATAATAATAATATTAATATATTTTTTATTTGGTTTGTGAACGATACAGTAAGTGCTAAAAGTACACAGGGGGGTACAATATGAAGTTAACCGCAACTGCTTTTAAGCTCTCGTATGGCAGCAGATTCTTGGATAGATTAAAACTGTTCTTCAGTAATGGTTTATTCTTCAGAAGGATAACCCATTATTGTGGAGCAGTTGTATTAATGGGTTATTCTTCAGAAGAATATGAACTTTCTTAAAGTAAGCTGAGTATCTGCTAAGACTGCTAAAGAATATAGTATCGATATTGGAGGAATTATTTATGTCCAAGTTTGAGGTCAGATTTTGAGAAGACAGCCTCACCCGACTTTGCAGGGTGACTAGTGGGTGGATGGGGCAAGTCATAGGTGGGTCGGGGTTGTCCCCCAAAATTTCTGTGAGGAGGATCAGCTCTCATGGCCTTCATCATTAAGTCGTGGGGAGATAAAATAATGGTTGTCAAGGCCATAGAGTTTCATCTTCGCTTCAAAATATTCAGAATCTAGACACATTTACATTTAAAATGCATAACCTTTTAGACCCCAGGCACCGCCGGGTACCTTACCTTGAGGTGCTTCCGGGGCTTAGCGTCCCCGCGGCCCGGTCGTCGACCAGGCCTCCTGGTTGCCTGACTGATCAACCAGGCTGTTGATCTACTTTTTGACGGGTACACCACATCCAAGAAATATCTTTGAAATAATATTTACAATAACAGGTTATAATTAATAATATTTTTTTTACCTAATACAATAATAAATGTAACAAATTTGTAATGATGTTAAGCACAGTATAGAAAAGTGAGGTGGTTCGTGGTACACCTGTTCACCTGATACACCTGTTCACCTGATACTCCTGTTCACCTGACACACATCTGTTCACCTAACACACACCTGTTCACCCAGCAGTAAACAGGCACCCTGGAGCCAGACAACTGTTGTGGGTGGCATCCTGGTGGTAGAGGGGGAGGGGGAGTTGCCAGCAGAACCGCCATCTTTTTTTGTATAAACAATTAAGTTAATATTTCCGTATTAAATAAACAAGTAAACAAAATAAACAAATAAACAAATTTAACAGTCACATACAAACGGAACAACAGAAATAACAGGAAAAAATTTTTATATACAAAGGGGAATACAATAGGCTATTGTACAGGACGCCAACACTAACAGTTGTGTAGTCTGAAGCCATCAATGTATTGTGGTACATAGTGTCATTGTGATGTTTTATATGTAAACACTACAGGGGATTCTTGCTTTGTGTTATGATTGATTTGTGTGTTCTGAAGGGAGGAATATTTTGGTGATAGAGGAAGGCTGAAGCACTGAGATGGGATTGAACTATTGGGACACACACACACACACACACACACACACACACACACACACACACACACACACACACACACACACACACACACACACACACACACACACACACACGAGGGGCCTCGTAGCCTGGTGGTGAGGGGCCTCGTAGCCTGGTGGATAGCGCGCAGGACTCGTAATTCTGTGGCGCGGGTTCGATTCCCGCACGAGGCAGAAACAAATGGGCAAAGTTTCTTTCACCCTAAGTGCCCCTGTTACCTAGCAGTAAATAGGTACCTGGGAGTTAGTCAGCTGTCACGGGCTGCTTCCTGGGGTGTGTGTGTGTGTGTGGGGTGGGGAAAAAAAAAAAAAAAAAAAAAAGTAGTTAGTAAACAGTTGATTGACAGTTGAGAGGCGGGCCGAAAGAGCAAAGCTCAACCCCCGCAAAAAAAAAACCACAACTAGTAAACACACACACACGTCCTGTTAGAAGGTCTTGTTAGAAGGAGCTACACTGTGTTAGAAGGAGCTACACTGTGTTAGAAGGAGCTACACTGTGTTAGAAGGTGCTACACTGTGTTAGAAGGTGCTACACTGTGTTAGAAGGTGCTACACTGTGTTAGAAGGTGCTACACTGTGTTAGAAGGAGCTACACTGTGTTAGAAGGAGCTACACTGTGTTAGAAGGAGCTACACTGTGTTAGAAGGAGCTACACTGTGTTAGAAGGTGCTACACTGTGTTAGAAGGAGCTACACTGTGTTAGAAGGTGCTACACTGTGTTAGAAGGTGCTACACTGTGTTAGAAGGTGCTACACTGTGTTAGAAGGTGCTACACTGTGTTAGAAGGTGCTACACTGTGTTAGAAGGTGCTACACTGTGTTAGAAGGTGCTACACTGTGTTAGAAGGAGCTACACTGTGTTAGAAGGTGCTACACTGTGTTAGAAGGAGCTACACTGTGTTAGAAGGTGCTACACTGTGTTAGAAGGAGCTACACTGTGTTAGAAGGTGCTACACTGTGTTAGAAGGTGCTACACTGTGTTAGAAGGTGCTACACTGTGTTGGAAGGTGCTACACTGTGTTAGAAGGAGCTACACTGTGTTAGAAGGTGCTACACTGTGTTAGAAGGTGCTACACTGTGTTAGAAGGTGCTACACTGTGTTAGAAGGTGCTACACTGTGTTAGAAGGAGCTACACTGTGTTAGAAGGTGCTACACTGTGTTAGAAGGAGCTACACTGCTACACTGTGTTAGAAGGAGCTACACTGTGTTAGAAGGTGCTACACTGTGTTAGAAGGTGCTACACTGTGTTAGAAGGAGCTACACTGTGTTAGAAGGTGCTACACTGTGTTAGAAGGTGCTACACTGTGTTAGAAGGAGCTACACTGTTAGAAGGTGCTACACTGTGTTAGAAGGAGCTACACTGTGTTAGAAGGTGCTACACTGTGTTAGAAGGAGCTACACTGTGTTAGAAGGTGCTACACTGTGTTAGAAGGTGCTACACTGTGTTAGAAGGTGCTACACTGTGTTAGAAGGTGCTACACTGTGTTAGAAGGAGCTACACTGTGTTAGAAGGTGCTACACTGTGTTAGAAGGAGCTACACTGTGTTAGAAGGTGCTACACTGTGTTAGAAGGTGCTACACTGTGTTAGAAGGTGCTACACTGTGTTAGAAGGTGCTACACTGTGTTAGAAGGTGCTACACTGTGTTAGAAGGTGCTACACTGTGTTAGAAGGTGCTACACTGTGTTAGAAGGTGTGTTAGAAGGTGCTACACTGTGTTAGAAGGAGCTACACTGTGTTAGAAGGTGCTACACTGTGTTAGAAGGTGCTACACTGTGTTAGAAGGTGCTACACTGTGTTAGAAGGAGCTACACTGTGTTAGAAGGTGCTACACTGTGTTAGAAGGAGCTACACTGTGTTAGAAGGTGCTACACTGTGTTAGAAGGTGCTACACTGTGTTAGAAGGTGCTACACTGTGTTAGAAGGTGCTACACTGTGTTAGAAGGTGCTACACTGTGTTAGAAGGTGCTACACTGTGTTAGAAGGTGCTACACTGTGTTAGAAGGAGCTACACTGTGTTAGAAGGTGCTACACTGTGTTAGAAGGTGCTACACTGTGTTAGAAGGTGCTACACTGTGTTAGAAGGAGCTACACTGTGTTAGAAGGAGCTACACTGTGTTAGAAGGTGCTACACTGTGTTAGAAGGAGCTACAATGTGTTAGAAGGAGCTACACCGTGTTAGAAGGAGCATGTTACTGTAGCATGTAGGGCAGCATGTTGTCAGACTACAACATGACTGTAGCATGTAGGGCAGTATGTTGTCAGCCTACAACATGACTGTAGCATGTGGGCAGCATGTTGTCAGCCTACAACATGACTGTAGCATGTAGGGCAGTATGTTGTCAGCCTACAACATGACTGTAGCATGTGGGCAGCATGTTGTCAGACTACAACATGACTGTAGCATGTAGGGCAGTATGTTGTCAGCCTACAACATGACTGTAGCATGTGGGCAGCATGTTGTCAGACTACAACATGACTGTAGCATGTAGGGCAGTATGTTGTCAGCCTACAACATGACTGTAGCATGTGGGCAGCATGTTGTCAGACTACAACATGACTGTAGCATGTTGGGCAGCATGTTGTCAGACTACAACATGACTGTACCATGTTGTCAGCCTACAACATGACTGTAGCATGTGGGCAGCATGTTGTCAGCCTACAACATGACTGTACCATGTTGGGCAGCATGTTGTCAGCCTACAACATGACTGTACCATGCTGGGCAGCATGTTGTCAGCCTACAACATGACTGTACCATGTTGGGCAGCATGTTGTCAGCCTACAACATGACTGTACCATGTTGGGCAGTATGTTGTCAGCCTACAACATGACTGTAGCATGTGGGCAGTATGTTGTGCCTCTAGGGCTCATCTGCCTCTATATTGACACACGGCTCTCGGCTCTATGTGACTCTGTATGACGTCACTACCAGCCTCCATTAGCGCAGTAGGCTACATTCAACAACCAGAGTCAATACACTCTTGATAATTGGTCATCAACACCCCTGTGTCTCGCCCCACTTTCCCTATACCCATCTTGCCCGGGTTCGAATCCTGGGGGGGTATTGATCCTTAACTGATCAAAACGACACGCAAAATTGACGTGACGTCCCGTTTTCTATTCGAGGGTCTTCGATATGGTTAGGTTCGGGTAAATTAGTACACCAGTTTAGTGAGGGGTGTAGACGCTGGGAAGGACTGACCA